TGTTTGGCCGAAGAAAGCGAAGAAGAAAATAGGAGAAAACGAATTTTCAATGAATATGATAGCTGTTTGGAAATGTGATAGATCTTGAAGTTTGCCGTTATGTGCAATCGATAGCCCAGAAACTGTGCACAAGGGTCAAGTTGTATGAGGCAATGCCATGGAGTTATTCCCATTGCAGCAGCTCTCAAGTGATCAAACTAACACCCTAGCACCAATGGTTACACTGGTGTAGTGACCACATCTTCTTTTCTTAAATTTTTGAATTGTGCATTTGTCAGGGAAAAAAACCGATAGCGAATTGAAACGGATGGAAAATGTGCCGAGGAAAATATGGAAAAGCATCGATTTTCAACATGAATAGCTCCATCCCGATAGATGTATATTCGGTCGAATCATTTTTATAGCGAAATATATTACTCTGCCCATACTCCCGAATACGTTCGTACTTTACAGTACCCTTTTTTTTCTAGAGATGTAAAGATATTTTCTCTTCTTGTTTGCTGTGCCACGAACGTGCCCATGCTCGCCAGCAAACAAATTTAAATATTTGGTCAGTGCTCTTTCCTGCCGAGCTGCTGCTGTTTGTACTTGTTTTCGTTTACTGGATTACCTAGTATGCATGTTTGGATCAAACCGGTATAAACTAAATCCAATTCAAGCGATGGACACACATCAACTGCATGCAGCGGATACGTCAATGTTGTCTTTAATAGCGGTACAGATTTGCATAACAGCTAAAACACACGCGGTTAATCATCCACTGCAAGAGTTTGGAGCGCATTTAGCGCTGTCACAATAACTGGTGTTGTTGTTTTTGAACTAACGGCTTATTTTCACCGGCTTTATCTTGCAATTTGTATATCCGGATATCGCAAATAAAGCGTTTACATTTGAAATTGGTAATAGGGTTTTCACGCGGATTATGGACAGATCTACTGAATGATATCGGGAAATCAGCTCAACATAGTATTGATTCAATATCCTTGATAAGCTCATGAAATGACTATCGTTTCATTGTTTGTCGGCACATATCTCGGAGCGGAGTTTCAAACTGTAAACTGTTGTATGAAATGCACAGTTGCCCCATCAATAAACTTCACAAACTGGTTTTGCACAAATTGACATTGGTACACAGTTTAAAATTTACGAGAGCGTATACTAGCCGGAATCCCGTCTATATTCAGGCGTAAATTTTAAACAGTGTATGCACTGTTTCACAGTTTGTCTTTCACTATTATCGACAAACGAATTTGTTAGGCTTCCACACTGGAATTGGAAATGAGATTGATTTCAAACTAAATGTTTGGTTTTGTGATTGATGTTAGACCCCATCCAAATAAAAGAACAACTAGAATTCCAAATTTTGCAAATATGTGTGGTTCTACGGTTCGTCAAATATACGTTCCATTTAGCACCTTTTGTATTTACCCAATTTGGAAACACCATCAACAACAACAAAGAAAAATACCGTCTACATTGAAGTATCACTTACCCTTTTACTTTGAATTTGAAATATGCCAGAGAATGTTTGCAATGAACATGACGTTTATCACAATTCATTAGCACTTTGATGTAGTCACTTAAAACCTCAATCCAATTGATACAGTCAACCAAAAACAAAAAAAAAACACATTGATAACATTTTATCCTGGTTAAAATGAACATGCAAAACGTTCCACACCACTACACCACCACCAATGTATACACATTTCCTGAGCAATGTTTTCTTTCCCTCTCACACAGAACTCGTGCTCACATCTTAATATTATATCGTTCTTTTTAGGTGATATAAGAATAATAAAAGTTATCACACCGATTTCGGAGCGTACGGACATATAGCCGGACATTTTTGCAAATCGGTAAATGTTTTGATGCGCCTTTGCATTGATCATCATCAAATCAGTGAATTTTTTTTTCTTTTCTTTGTATTTTTGTTATTTCCGTTGCTATATGTCATGAACGAACATTTTTGCCGCACATTTAAATGATTACGTTCGAATTCCTTTATTCGTCATCACATCAACACAAAATCGTTGAAATCGTTAAAAAAAAATTATGTATCCAGTAGATACTAACCACACAAAAATTGGACGGTATTGATTAAACAATAAACTTTGCTGCCATAAAATTAACTACACCAATTCGGCGAAAAATTTGAGTGAAACCGTTTTTTATCACCACATTTTTATCTCTCTGTTCAAAATATAAAAAAAAAATCGTGCTGAAGTTTGCCAATTTTGAAAATTTATTTCCCACAGATTCCACAGTGCATAAGGAAATGTTGTGCATTCGGAGCGAATGAAAAAATATTGAAGAAAAATTTGTTGGCACATTCTGGGTGTTACTTGCAGCTGTTTGGAAGCTAATAAAAATAGAATATGGCATGAGTTTTTGTAAAACGCTCGATTTATACCTCTTAGAATTCCTTAGCCACAATCATTAAATGGTCGAGCATATCTTCAGATATGGTGCGAGAATATTTCATGGTAAAATTTCTCTACCGATAATAAAAGAGTATTCTTTGTATGTGATGAATGACATTCGATGAATGTGAACATTCTAGAAATACCAAGGAAATTCTTTGACCTTCTATTCGACGAACGAAAACCCACACAGATGATTTAGAAATCCGTACGCCCTATATTTCCTAGAATTGGTTCTATTCAGTGTCCATTGTTCAAGTATGTACACATAAAACGTTCATTAATAAGCATTATTGCAAAAAAAGTAAGAAGAATGATTAAATTCTCTATTTAAAGGCTAATCTAATTTTGTTTTCATTGAATGGCGGTTTTCAGCATCCATTAGAATGAATCACTTGAGATATTCGTCTTCAAGCCAACGGAAGCTCGTTCAATTTTCTCCACGCTAATTTTTTTTTTTAATTGAATAAACCGAAACTTGACGACAACGCGCGAACAAGTTGTTATCCAGATTTTTAATTAGATGGAAAGCCTATTATGTGTTGTAATGAAATTAAAAGAATAAAAGTTTGCACGCTTTCAAACATTGTAAGCTGTGTAAGAAAGCATTTGTGCGCCCGGCACTGCGCCGAACGCGAGATGAACGAAAACAATAGATGCTATCTAAGTAGTGGCATGCATGTGTGCCGATCAATAAAGGAATTGATGTGGATGCTCGTGATATGTGCCCATTACCAAAACCCATGGAACCATAAGAAACACGACTTACCAATACGGACAAATTGGCATCGTTCCTTCGTCTTTTCATTCATATCATTGTTTCAATGGAACTTTTATTAGCGAGGTCGCTTTTGCCTGCATGTAAACATTGCATGTAACGTCGACGGTGGCTGTGACAACTGAAGCTTGAACAAAGGCGTTGCGAAAACTTTTGCGTAAAGTTTTTCAATTTAATTAAACATACTTTAATGTCATATAATCCGATAATGTAGAAAAATGTGTGTGTTCATATCATCTAATCACAAATGAGCAATTTATTTAGTTACATTTTTGAGTCAGAGTAAAAGCAAGAGAATCGATCCATCTAAATCAGTTGAAATGGGAATGTGGAAAATGTTGAAAAATTCCAATGTCTTTGAACAGACTCAAATTCAATAATATGATCACAAATAATAAATATAAAAGTCACTTCGGTGGATGAACGCCAATTGAATTGAGAGGCGCTTGTACATTGTATCCGATTTATAACTAGGACAACCCCAAAAGCAATGTCCGATAACCAAATTGCTAACAACCAGATGAATCAACATTTCATCAATGTGCAACGTACATCACTCCTCGGCGTTCGTGTGTACTGTCTCTAACACAAATTGAGTAATGAAGTGAAAGAAACGCTTTATTTTAAAACCATCTTGATTAAACGCAGAGAAAAGAAAGGTTTATACGCCCTCCTGCAGCTGATCCATTCCATCATCCTTTTTAATTTCTTTTTGCATTTTATTCGTAATTCCGAATAATTTGCATACACCCTCGGTATGCAATTATAATATTGAGTGAGAACATGGAATCCAAAAGATGTTCAATGTTACCGGAGTCGATCCTACGTAGCACAATCCAAACACATGGCACAAAGTGTGAGTGGGGCACAACAAGCGACAGCTACTTGCTAAATGGGTCGAGGTAAAAATAGAGCGCAGTGCGAAAATAACACTGAAAAATCTCTCGACTCTTGTTGAAGTCAGTGGACATAAATGCGATGAAGCCAACTGCAATGACAAATTAAAATGTTCTGGCGCAAATGCAAAAAACGATTGTGTGGGTAGCAAAATGGTGAGGCAGTGTGTAAGAGAATATTTGTGTGAGAATGTAATACTACGTCGTCGGAAGGAAGCTTAAAACAAATGAGCGTGTGTGTGTGTGTGTATGAACGAATATAGTCTACCACAGAATGATGTATATATGCTGTACAGAGTTGCTCTCTGCCACGGATACATATCACACATTCTTTCAAAAGTAATTTTATGCCTTGCTTCTGTTCATTTTGACTCTGCTCGGCCCGATGTTTTACTTTGAATATTTGTTAAATGCCAACTTCTTCAATAAGCAATTCATATTCTCAAACAAAAATGTACAAATTGCTTTGTCGTTGATGAAATTTTCTCTTTCTCGTGAAAATTAAAAACTTTTCATTCATTTGGAATTTGCGTTTGCTGAAGGTGGTTGCGTTTCGGTCTTTTTGTTTTATTTTCCACTATGTCGTGCTGTGTTCTCATTAACAATCGAAAATGCTTCGCATAAAAAAAAAATGAATGTGAATGAAAAAAGCAACACGAAAGTAAAATCTCAAGTATAATACCAACACAAAAAGTTGAATGCAGCTGTTTCGAATTCTCATTGTTATTGTTTGGCTGCTGTTGACTTTTCACTCTTGTTTTTCCATGATTTTCTTGTCGTCGCATTGTTTATCTTTTCCGACCACGCACTCAATTTGTTGTTTCTTTTTATTCTCTCCTCTTTTTCCCTCTCTCTCTCTCTGTGTGTGTGTGTGTGTTTTTTCTAAATTCACAATGCTTTCAGATGGAACCCATAACTGACACACAGTTGACGGCAACAAGCACATTAACATCGTGTCCAACAGCGACAATAATGAGCGGTAACAGTAGCGTTGGCAGCAGTGCAAGCACTCATCACCATCATCTTCACAATGCGCACGGTCAACCAATGACGCTATTGAGCCCGAAAACTGAAACAGCGCTATCGCCGACCGGTGGTGAGGCGCACACCACCACCGGCTCCATGGTCACATCGAAGGAAGACGAAGAGGATTCAAGTAATGCAGCATCATCCGATTGCAAGAGTCCCGGCCAACGGTATGTTAAACTCCGTTTAAATTATTCTCATTCATTTGCGCTGGAATTATTAACAACAACAGAAAACAAACAGAAAAAAAGACGAAAAAAGAAACGAAAAACATGCAAATCAACAAAATATACGAAAATTTATTCGTGATTTTTACCATCGCTTAATTGCCATATTGCTCATGCTGCTAGGATCTTGCATTCGTTCCAGTTATTATTATCATTGCTTCTCCTTGCATATTATTTCTCTGGCGGTTTTTCTTTTGCTTTTGGTTTTGCTTTATTTCATTCAAAGTAATGATTGCTTCCATCTTTGTTGTTCATTCAGGCGTACAAGAGCATCACTGACAGGTTTTCGTTTTACGAGAGTGAGACGATGGGTGAAAATAGTTTTTATTTCGGTGGTGTTTTGAGTGGCTCTTGTTGCAAAGGAGATGGAATGCAATTATTATATTACGCTGCTGCGTTCGTTTATTTTGTTGTTTTTCTTCTTCTTTGTTTTCGTTTCCGATCTCAATTGGATCACTTTTCGTTTAATTTCATTTTATTGTTAATTTGATTGGCTTCCTTACTTGAGTTTCCATTTTTTCTGTTCTGTTGGTTTTGCATTTTGAAGTGCTTTTGCTTCGTTCTTTTTTGCCCATTTTTTAGACGCGTAATCCAATACAAAAATGTGATGTCCATAATTGAAAAAGCTTTTTTGTAAAATAAATATGCATATTTCGTTATGTTTCATTTTTAATAGGTCAGTTATGAATTTGAACAAAAATTGTAAATAAAATTTTCAAGCAAACATTTGTACACATACACACCAACCCATCACATTATTCACGCATTCAATAGACGGTTTTACGTATATCTCGACGCTAAAAAACAATTTCTTTGGTTTTTTTTTTCATTCAACTTAAAATCGCTTGTAGAAATTGTAGGTGAATTGACCTTTCATGTTTGATTACTTACTGCATAAACATTGAAGCTGAATCGAATGATAATAACAAAAATACAAATATACACAAGCTTATTACATTTTGCTAGGAGTCTTGTCGAGAATGGCCGAATGCATCTCCCCTATATTTAGAAAGGAAACAAAAATAGAAAAACAATACACTGATTTGAATTCTGTTAGAATTTTTTGCGATGATAGAATAATGAATACTATTCATTATTCATTGAATAGCTAAAATTAGAATCTGCTATGAAAATACACAAATTCGCCTGAAACCAACATCAATTAAAACACTGTACAGGAGCAACAACAAGCATAAAAATACCAAAAACCACCAACAGCAATATATCCAAAGCCAAAAGCTGATGCCATTCAACTAATCATGATTTTCATTATAGCAGATGATAACCATTATCTCTTATATTATATATAATAATTAATTTTAACACACTTGGGTGTTGTAGTTCGATTATCCGAATTATTTCAAAATAATTGGTAGCAACACCGAAATACCGTTTGCACACATACCACACACATGTATATACAGAGAAGAGCTAAGCCAAAAATGACGTTGATGTTAATGCTGAGTCAACACGGTACAGATCAAGCATTAAATATTAACCTGCGTCTTTTGTTTGGTTGCTGCATTATTAATGATGAATGTGCATGTTCTTCCAAAATAGGACCACATTTTTCATCGAATAACACGGTATACCGTAAGTAAAATAGTTAAGTCTTAAGGCGTCAAGCTGTGCTATTTTGCGAAACATTTCCCGTTGTCTGCATCGGAAAGAATTTACGTGAGTTTCATAGCGTGATGGAGAAGGGATGTTGAAAATGGGGTTAAAATTGGCTATATCAACCTAATTGTGTGCTCAAAATGCAGTACGAGTAGTGTAAACAATTTTTGATTTCATTTTGGATCCTTAAACGATTGGTTAGGTTTGGAGTTGAGAGATGAAGATAAAGAAGAAGATGAAGATATTGTTTAATTTCCCAGAAACGTTTCGCATAATACAGACGTGAATCAGTTTGCATACAAATATTTTTTTATAAACCCACCACATAACATCAACAATGTCACGTACAACCCGAGTACTTTGGTTTGTTCATATCAAAAAATGAATAATGTATACACATGATGTTGAACATGTACACAACAGGCATCATAATTCCAGAGCAACGTCTATTTAGTGAATCATTTGTTGTCGTTGGCCCATCATGAAAGATGAGTTGTTGTTGGCGTACATGTCGCTTTACGATGGGCGAATCGTGTTTATACTTCCATTATCACACCAAATGCAATACCAAATACCGATTGCAGACGACACCGAAAAAAAGAACACATTCACATAGACATTTCTGTAACTATTCAGATTTAGTTTGATTATTTTGCTAGTATTTTATCCAAGATAATATCGCTATCTATGACGAAAGGTACATAAATACATGAAATATTCCTGCACGGAAACCTGGTATGATAATCTATATGTGGATTAAACAGAGATGCAGTTGATTCATTGTCTCTGCCAGCGAAAATTTAATCTAGATTCCGCTTCAAATTTACCATTCTCTCGGACAGCCACACAGTATTTTACAGTTTATCGAATGTTGCGCGCACTTTCAAACAAATTGAAATTTAATTGAAATCATGGTGTTGTCAACAATTACATCTATACCACCTCATTACAGCTTACTACATTGATTTACAACACTCTCCCCCCCCCCCGGCTGTGAGCTTCTGATTGCGCACGTCAAATTCATTGTAGATTCTAAATATTTCAAATTGAATCAAGTGACAAAACCATGTCAAAACCATTTATGCACTCGGAAACAGTGATTTCCCGACGGGTAGCATAACCATATAACGCTAGTTGACGCTGCCACAACAACTGATTTAGCAATCACTTACAAATATTGCATCATGAAAATGAGCATATTCCGGCTGTTTATTTTGTAATATCGTGTATACGCTACCCACTTTGTTCTCAATTCTCATTCAATCTAATGGCAGTTATCAAAATGATGCAGCAACTCAAAACATTTTCTATAATAATATTATCCAATCGAATGTACTTAATTTAATTGGCTGATTTGGAAAATGCAAACGTTTACTCTCTGTAATACTAACAAGTAAACAGATTTCATTAGGAATATAAGCAGACATTATTATGTAATAATTTGGCGATTGGCATAAGCGAATATATTTGCAGCCTCATTTTGTTGAATTTTGTTTACGAAAACTAAAAGACAGAAGATACAATGTCATACATACACAACACACAAACAAACAAACAATCAATACGATTCCGAATGGTTGCAACCATGGTTGTTATCTGCGTTGTCGCAATTTCAGTTTTTTACATCATTACGGCCCATCCACATCGTTTGCATCACAATCAAGTCTCGGAATCATTTTGGAAAATACTGCAATTGAAAATAATTTGCAACGGCACCAGCGCAGTCACAGCCTAAAAAATCGACACGAATACGAACAATTAGACGGTGATTATTATGATGATGATGTGAACGGTAGCAGCAGTTGCAGCAGTGGCAAAAATGCTGAACAAACCAATACGGCGGCGAAAGGTTCACGTGGCTGGCGAAATGTCCGTGCCGTCATGGCATACTATTATACGCTGCGAAAAATCAAGAGGAACGGTGCTCTCTATTATCATTATTTAGTCTAATTGTACACTCTCTGTCTCTCTATCTAACAAAACAAAAACATAATACCAAGTATACTACTACTTCGTTCATCTTAATTTGGTGGAATAGTGTTTGTTCATTCTATATATAGATTTCGTTTTTTTTTTTTCGGTTTGTTTAAAAGTTCGTAATCTTCACACTCTCAGAGCGATTATGTTCATGTACTGCAGTCTCTTTTTTCCATATATGTGTTGTTTTATATTCAGATATCATTCTTAAGCGAACACCAACATCAGACTAACAAAAAATATATACACATTTCTCTTGCTCCTAAACGTATTTTTTTCTTGGCTAATCGTATTTACTTGCTCACGTATATATCACATTGTTGTTTTTGTTACGATGACATGGAGTGTCAAGCAAATATCTTATATAACTCATATAAAAACTCTTGTGTTCGTTCTGTTGCCGTAGGCCGAAGAGAAATTATTTTAAGTGAATACGATTTATCATTATTTTTTTCTGTTCGGTTGGTTCATTCTGCTGTTGTTGTGGGCATCAGATAAGCAACCATAAAGATAAAATGAGGAGAAAGCGTTTTAGCATGGAAATAGCAGGTGTTGCATGTTTAGATGACCAGTCATGCGGATTAGCATAGATTATGATGACTTCATTAGATTTAAATGTTGATACTTAACAAACACAACTATTTCTAAGCTTCAAACGTTTCCTTTCGATTTTACATTGAGCTAGAAACACTGAATCAAAGCAATAAACAAAAACAGTATGTAATCATTTTCATTGTGTGTACAGCGTAAATAGTTTAACTCGAGTTGATATTTGCGATATTTTCAAGAGACAGTTGTTGCACTCAATCTAGAGGTAAACCATTTTCATGAAATAGAATAAATGGATGATCGTTGTTCATTTTCGATTTTTGTAGATAGCATAGAGAGTAGCATTTGGATAAACATTCTTTTAGCCAACAAATGAAATGTATTATGCGTGAAATCGCAAGCAAATTATTCAAATATTTGGATGGAACGAAATATATTGCTAGACAATTTTTGGCATTATGTCATTTATTTTTTAAAAGTAACCCCAATTCTGTATGTTCGAATTGTGAACTATGTATGCCATTCTATCTATCTTTTTAACTCACTCTCTCTCTCTCTTGTTTCTCCCTCCATTTTGGAAGAACAAATATTTCTCATCTCAATTTTTCCGTGAGACTTTACTTTAATGCATATCTCAAATTTCAACCGCTCTAAATTTAAATTCTTTCCAGCAATTCCGTACTTATTTAATTACTTCATGTCCTACTTTTCACTCTACTAATAGCTATTCCTAGGAAACGTTTATGCAACCTAAATTTTTTTTTTTTGCGGGAAATTTGCCTCTTTTTTCATTTATTGTTCGCTTTAATCGATAATTACATTATGTGTTGGTTCCCACGGGTGAAACTCAAGGCAGTATCAAAGTTGGAAGATGGTTTTTTTGCATCGAATGAACGTGAAAGTTTTGCAGATCCCATGAATATAAGATGAACTAGAACTTCGACATGTAGTTCATAGGTATTTTTTGGTGCATAAGTAGGAAGGCTACAAAACATAAATATTTTTGCGAGTATACTCTCTATCATATATGTATCCTCTCGCAGAATGTGCTTATAAAGTGCAAAAGCTGAACGGAATACACTTAAATGGAGTATAGTATACATTGTAATTCCAATGGGATTAGAATTTAATCCATTGGGATTT